TTTGGATATTTTCAAGCCGTGGGTGCTTGAATCTGTGGATAAAAAAATCTGTGGATTTCTATTTGGAATTTATACTTTTTTGGGGGGTATTTTCAAGTCGTTGGTGCTTGAATCTGTGGATTAAAAAATCTGTGGATAAGGTATTCAACAAAGTTGTATATTCATGTTTATGCTTAATAAAAATAAATAAATATAAAGAGAAAAATGGAAGGCATGACCAAATCAAAGCTAAAAACACTCCTATAAATGTCAATTCCTTCTTCTTAGGGGGGTTGCTGACTGCCAGAAATAGTGCAAATTGAGTCCACTTTTAGGTTTAGGGTTAGGGAATTATGGGGACTGTATTTTATTGTGGCACCAGAGCTCTCTGACAGAGAAGGCTCAATGTCTCAGAAGAAAAACAATTCCCATGATTCCCTAGCACTAACCCTAACCTTAAAAGTGAACTCAATTCACACTATTTCTGGCAGTCTGTAACGCCCCTTAGTCATGCTAAAAATGGGGGGCTGTTTGGAATTATTCCTGGACCGAAGGTTGAAAGGTGGGACATGTCATGGAAAAGGAGGACATCTGGTCACCCTGGCCTATGAAAAGGACAGGGCAGATTTCCTAGGTCATACTGCAAAGATCGAGGGATTGCATATATGAAAGTCCTATCCCTAGAAGAAGAAGGAGGAAGAGGAGGATTAACATGGAGCTTACCATGGGCTTCTTATATTCGTTGGGTTTGATGCAACGGACGAAAAACGGCTGGCAGACGCTGAGGGTTCTCATCAGCAGCTCCAGAGAACGCTTGAACTGGCTGCTGAGAGTCGGGGACCGTTTCCTCGTCTCTGCCCCCTGGAATAATAAAAAAGGAAGACCAGTGCCGTGATGGATCCATGTCAGGAAATGAAAAGATAACACAAACAACAGTAGAGTTATTTCCCCTCTCAAGCTGGTTGCAAAGAACATTTTCTGCATAGGAAGCAGCCTTAGGCCAGGTCAGCGGACTCATTCATCGAGTCCAGCATGATCTAGATTCTCCAGTGTTTCAGGGAGAAACCAGGCGCTTCTATCAACCGCTCTAGACTTTCCTTCCCACAAATGTTGTTGTTGTTGTTG